TCGGGATACGCCCAGAGTCACGGAACGGATTAAGTTCGTATCCCAAGGTACCACTGTAGTTGTCAAGATAACTTACCCAGTTGGATGGCTAAGGGCATGTTCCCCAAGCAAATCTTCATGTAAGCCAGTGATAATGCCAGCTTAGCAATTGTCAGTAACCCTTCTCCAACAACTTGAAGATGAGAACTACGTTTGATGGCCATTAACTCATATTTCATCCATTCATGTTGACAACCCATCATTTGACAGCAGAGGGAGAAATCCATGTAGGAGGAGATTATCTATGATATTGTAAACAAGGACACAAACAAGAATCTACTATTGGTTTAGTCAGAAACTTGCAGAATCTATCTTAATCTTTCCTTGAACTTTTTCAATTTGGCACCCACCCTAATTTGAAAACCAAAATTGTAGTAAATAGTTCTGGAAGATGATCTTTGATATTAAAAAGGAGAATAACGTACACATGAATTTGCTGGATTTCTCAGTGATTTTTGTTTCTGTGAATTCTGGTATCTTGTTAAGTTGCCTCAAACAAATGGCTGAAATTTCAAGAAAAGCACTGCAACGCAGTGGTGTCACTCTTTTCTATCTGACGGATTTGAGAGCATGATAATTTAAAAGACCTGCCTATTCCCTAGGAATTATTGTGAGAAGTTTCAGAAAGACCAGGGTAATCAGTAAAGTTTTTCTGTATTTACATGAAACATTGACAATCTGTAATTTTAGGGTTATTGCTTTCCAAATGCTGATGAACCTCAGACTTAAACAACATTAATTAAGGATCCAGAAGAGTTTCAAGTCAGTGTCTAAAGGTGCTGGCAAGGTGAACAAGAAAAAGCAGATTGACAAAGAATGCCTGCAAGATAAAGGTGATGCAGTACAGTGGTACCTTGAGTTACGAACGCCCCTTACGAATTTTTCAAGAAACAACCAGCTCCGACCCCAAAAATTTACTTCTATTTGCGAACTCCACCTCAAGTTATGAACCGGATCCGTGGCCATTTTCCGTGCTGCCACGTGGTCGCAGCTTCCTGTGGGCGAGATCACGGTGGCAAGGAGACGTTCAGTGAGGCTTGTGGTGTGTTTTGTG